CGACGACTCGCGGGTGGTTGCCGGCGGTCAAGAGGCAGGGGTTGGTGGCTTCGTAAACATTCCTAAACAACGACCGGCGGCGAGGTGATTTTCGCCCGCTGCTTGCTCATCGAAAAAACGTGGCAAACGTTCGAATGGCGGGGGAGTCCCGGGGGTTGCACCAAAGGGGTGGCCCGCCCGAGAGTATGGATTACCCGGCTGAATATACGAGTCAACCGCGTGTGGTTTCCCGAGATTAGCCCGGGTTTATATCGGGATTACATATGTAAAACCATTAGGTTAAATCATTTTTTAAATAAACGCCCGCGCGCTGTCGAGGGAGGCTGCCCTCGAGACCGGAGGCCGGCCTCTGAGTGAAATATTCCGAAGCACGTACCGATCTCTACCCCGCGCGACTCCTATCTCTGCCTAACGTCTGCGCTGCAGATCACATTTCTTGATGCTTTTCTACGTTACTTCGATTGACCGATGAAATAAGATCGACCGATTTTTAGATATTAGGCCTACGTGAGTTATTTTTAAAGTTTCACCCGGAAAGTTTGGGGAAGGAAAATGGCGAAAGAGAATAGAGATCAATATGAATTTGAAATTTCTACGTAATATTTTTATATTTCAGGATCTACTGGAAGCGAAATCCTTTATCGGTTGTTATTATAGAAAAAAGAAAGATTGGTACAATGTTATATTGATCTCATGTAATTTATGGATTAAAATTCAGGGAGTCTTAGCTTTCTGAAAAATAGTTAATTTCGACAATTTAATGATATCGACCATGCAATAGAATTACTCGAATGTTTTTCCATGTGTCCGGACCAATTATTCTTCTAACAGCCGGTCGACAATGGATGCGATTGCGAGGTTTATTTTGCTCCTGACAAGTGGTGTCGGTATCGCGTAAATATTTTTTGGTCAGCGACGGTCATATAGTCCCGAAAAATATAGGATGTTCAACAAGGGGGGCGGCATGGGTTTTGATTCTATCGTTCGTTAAAAGCGTCCCCGCGTTACGATCGACGAGGCCAATAAATAAGAGGAATTAAAATAAACGCCCCGTGGGGACGGGCCAGCGTGCTTGCAACTGTGAAATATCGTTTCGGCTCTTTTAGCTGCTCGATGTGTATCGGCTCTTCCCCACCAGCGAGTAAAATAAAGAAAGTTAATAAAATATAAATCGACCAGTTCTTTAAATTTTTCACGCGGCCACACTTCGTTCATATATGTGGTACATAAGTCGGGTAGACTGAATGAAAGAAACATTAGTGTGTGGTTGGCACGCGCGTTGAAAGTGAAACATCCAAATTAAAGAGATTATTAATTATTCCTAATTATTCTTTTACGAATTGCCCTAATTACTAGTTCGATATTGATAGTTTTGGTCTTAACCGTGCTAACGCTTAAATTGATTATAAATAGTAACTCATTGCAAATACATGAATTGCGTGAGACACCAAGGATACTAAGTGGCGATATTAATGTCAACTTCGTCAAGCCAGAAGCAGAGCCGATTGACTTTTTAGACAACAAATTGAAATTAAATAACAAAAACGAAAATGTTCACCCAAATTGTGCCAATACAAACACAAAGATGATTGCGATTAGTAATTAAAGGTATTTCACTTTTCGAAATGCTTTCCTTCGTTAATGTGCGAACTTACATTATTGTGACATAAGAAGTTTCACCGAAAAAAATAATGAAAAAAGAAAAGAACGATAAGAAGCGAAGGATACAGTGGGCCAAGATATAGGGAAATAGATGAGAGTGAAATACTTTTGACTTTCCCCCTTGGTTCGGCATTATGGCGAGCCGGGGTCGCGGGTGGGGTCAGAATGCGGAGGTGAGTACAGAGACGGCGTTACGGTTTACGAGGCGAACTCTCCCGTGGGGGTTGAGGAGGGGTGAGAATTATTCATAAACGTAGGCCGGCTCGAGGTGGTTTTCGCGCTTTACTATATAGACCCTGAATTCTACCGAATATTACGGGCGGAGCGTCCTTGCATAATAAACGCATAACAGTAATCCTTAAAACAATAATTAGCTTCTGCAGGAAGCTCACCCTCTTCGCGGCAGTCTCCCTATAGTCACCGTATCCGGGCTAGATGATTTTCGGACGGAAGGAAGATTGTACTTTTATTTCAACTAAATCTGACCTTCGTAACTTTGCCCCCTCATTGGGAGACTGATGAGAAACTTTAAAGTGAATACCTCCCTCGGAAGGCTAAATTCCTTTATCGCCTCGATTCTTTCCTTAGTTTCGTTAATTCCCTTCTAAAGTAACGATTAAGTTTCAACGAACGTCATTCAAAATCTATCACAATAATTTGCTTCCAATGATGCATCATTAAATTAAAACAACGATTATCATTGCAATCAATGTAACCTTGGGTTTACCATCGAGGACTAACTTTGTGGAAAATTTGCAAATAGCTACGCGATTTTTCTTTTTATTTAGTTTTGAAGTGTGCGTCATGAAATATATTATTCACTGAGTAATTACGTTCATTTGGAAATTGGTATTCATTGATCTTAAGTTTGGAGCCATCTCTAAGCGTGGGAAAAATAATGCAACTTTCAACGTAGGGGAGGTTAAGTCTTGGGGAAGCGTCGATGTTCCTCCACTTCGAAGGAAAGACTATATTGCGAGAAGATGTTAAACCGCGGGCACTTGGTTTGCCGGTCTGGCAAACGAGATTACGGAGTCCTCCGTCCGCGGTAAAACATCTAAGTTGCCGCAAAGAAGAGCGCCAGGCATTGCAGAAAAGGGGTGGCCAGAAGGGGTAGAGAGAAACCGAGTCGGCGGCGCGAAGTGTAATAGTTTTAATCCTGTGTCTTGAAGTCAGGATTTGGCGGCGCGGCAGTTAGTGGCTGGTAAGTGGCGAACCCACTTCGCGCCCTGATATCATAATCCGAATAATCGCCATTATTGCCGCCATTTGCTTAATCCGTGCTCCGACTCGGCTGCGAGTCGGCCGCCGCCACGATACCAGAAGTCGAACGGCCGTATCCCGCGTCGGAAGTCGGTAAACCAAGGCTTGAAAATTGACGAGCAGAAATGGAAAAAGGAATTCTTCCCATTACGTTTTTCTTTTAGAAATCATTGTAATATTAACACTAGACCGACCGGCAGATTATCTTTTTTGTACAGGATGAGCCATTTGAAACTAGTCATTTCGACCCGTCTTGGTAGTTCTAGTGTTAAATAGATTAGAATTTTGAGGATTTGCCAAACATTCGAATTTTTCATAAGTATTTCATTTTCGAGGGTACGGAATTTGTCAATTAAGCAAAAATTTTAGAACGTACGATGTACTATTCGTTATTATACAGAACGATAACATACGGAATTTACTGGATATAGGGGAGTTAACGCGTATGTTTTACAGCTTTTGATTTTAGTTTGGGAACTGATCGATTTATATAAATGATTATGATGACTGAAAAAGTGTAAATACACTTATTTATATTTTTATCATTAATATAATCAGAATAATGGCGCGGGTATGCTTCTCTTCAATGTAAGCGATGAGTGAGAGGGCCGTGTCAACAGGGGCGGAATTAAGGGATTGAGATACAGTCGTCAAGGAAGATTCAGGAAGTTGGAAATGAAGAACGGGGAAAATAAAAAAGAATGATATCCGCGTGTGACGGCATCGCTGCCCGGTTAAGAGGGAACAAAGAAGCAGCCATTAAATCCCCGAGATTTGTTCTAATGGGCGCAACTTGCTTACAAACTATTCGCATCCTCGGTGCCTTCCGGGTATTCGTACGCAGGTCGTGTGGTCGCGTGTACGTGCGATTGTATAAATTTGGCCGGCCCCGGTGTGGCGCTTACCCGAAGAAGCTGCTGCTTAAATACAAAAACTCCCTGTTAAATCTCTGCCTTAAACTTTGCCACTTTGCCCGGGAAATATGTATATTTATCGTGCTCGTTGCCATCGCGGCCATCCCGGAGGAGCGCTCCGGTTCTTTTCGGTGGAAGCTTCACAGGAAAGCAAATGCAAATAATACACCTGCCAAACAATTACTTCCACGAGAAATAAAAAAGAACATCCGCGATTTCGATGTAAAGATTTTTCACGCAAAATTAATTCCATCGGTGAAATACCTCGATTTTTTGCAAACATAAATAGGACACGTATAACATAACCACCTCCATGAGAAATAAGCGCCCATTTGCATATTGAACACGTTGTAAGAAACGCCCGATTCTAATGTAAACAACATGGCGTGACAAATTAGCTCGTGAAGTACATAAACTCTTAACACTTGTTAAGCTCCCGTTGAATTTGTAAACATGCAGGGTGTCCGAGGATTGTACGGCGGAATGTAAACACAGAATTACCGAGTTTTATAAGGAACCCGAGAAGGTGTTTTGTGATATTTATCCTACAATTGGTCAAAAATTACTTTGATCGAGGATGTTTGGAGGGTTGGAAAAATGATGAGAAAATGCTTAAGAGAGCACTTCGGATGAGAATCGGTCCGGAGAGGCTACGGTCGCCGAGAGTTGATTGCGGTGTGGTGCACAGTTGCATCTAATAAGGTCTCTAATTATGTGACATTATAATCACACCGAAGATTAGATCCCACTGCGTGGATGCGGCAGGGGCCAGAATGCCGCGGGGGTGGAAGCGGGGCTGCGGTGCAACGGCAGGGGTTGGTAATGTAGCAAGATAGTCAGTGGCATGTGTTGTTGATGAGGCGGTTAGTATTCAGTAGTGCGTTTCACCGGGGACTTTTGAAAACTAACTAAGTAAAGCCACCTTAATTCCATAAGTGGGCGGTGAAGGGGTTGAAGCATAATTATAACTCCCTCTCGGTTACCGGATATTAGAAGGCGCGATGCTGAGCCGTTTACCAATTGCCTTCCCTTTCGAAAGAGATTACGACCAATCCGTTTTGGGCTTGCAGATTTTGCAAAAATGAAAATAGGGGCCTTCGTGTTTTTCAAAAACGTAGATAGGCAATAAGTGAATCGTCTATTCAAGATCTAGATACTCACATACAGGTGATCACTTCTTTCCCTCCTTGAAAGCTGCCGTTTTTACCCCATCGCTTTGGAAGTTCCAGCAACACGATGCCCAAGTTGCCCCATAACGCCAGCTGTGTGACCGTCTCGTTGATAAGTAGATTTGTCACCTCAAAAATCGGAGGGTCGGTTGGTTGGAAGGTCTGGAAACGAGAAACGCAATTATTTTGCTACAGCGGCGCACTGCGTGTGTACGACGTAGGTGTTTCCTAAATTAGCCGTGGTGGGATAAAAAAGGATATTCCTGGATACACGAGCAAAAGTTCAGGGATAAAATCAGATATAAAATTCCGACAATGATAATTCCGTTGTAGACTTTCAGTTTGTTTTACGTTACAGTTGCTTTTCCTAGTTGCGGTGTATCCTTCAACCAAGAAATCTCAATAGTATTTTCTAGCTAATGTAATATAAACAGAGTTTTAATCGGCGCCCTCTAGGTACGCGCACTTCGGCCGAATGAATTATTCATCGATCCGGTAAGATGACGGGCCAGGATCTTCACGGTAGCCGGGAAAGAAAAACGCCAATTAGTCGATGAAATATGCAGAGAGGCTTCCCGGGAAGTCGCATCGAAGTCAGAAGTGCCGCTCCGAACGCGAAACACCCTGCAGCACGCGATAAGGGGAAGGAGGCGAACTCGAACTCGAGAAAGAGGACATCTTGGATCCTCGGCACATCTTAGACGCGGATATGCAGATACCGCTTGCCTAGCTACCGTGACACATAAAATAACCGCTCAATTATTCACTGAGAGCGAACGAGCTCCACGGTGGAGTGCGGCGCTCGCACCCTCTTTCCGTACAATCAAATTAGAAGGTGCCTCGTATACCTCGCTAAGGAACGCGGTTCCATCGAGTTCCGCGGTTCCGCGACCCTGAGACCGGTAAAACTCGTCTCTATACGTCGGTGCCTAGAAGAGAACATTGAAATCAGAAAAAATATCAAACATACACCAAACCGATGAGTAAAGTTATTGAACGTTAAATTAATATTTTAAATCATATGCGACGTCATTGAACTATTTATGGTTATAGTAACATAACAGGGAAGTCACTTTTCTCATAAGAGGAAGTTTCATTTCATTTGAGGCCCCCGTTTCTTAAGACATTTTTTGAAATTCGACATAAAATGCTGTGACGAGAAAGGTGTGGAACACTTGTTGAAGGAATTCTTTCAACATTAACGTTAACCATACAGATCACTGTCTGATTACATTTCGACATTTTTTTGCGGGGATTGTTCTTTTCGAGATGATTCGAATATTAGCGTGTTCGACCTTGTTGAATAATTCGATCCTGTTGATCCGAACTCCTTAATATCCGGATCCGATTTCGAGCTCAGCTAACGAATTCCGTCTTGGAATTTGCGGGATGGCGAGCAAGCGCTCCGCGACCGTTAACGAAACAGCAATCCACCCCAACCCGATACTACCCCTCGGTGGTTCGCGAGGCTCCCTCGGATCCGCGGAGACCTTTCATGTAAATTATAAATTCATTATTAGCCGGTTCGGTGCGCACGCCGTAGGATTTTTCGCCCGATCGCTCGATCCACGGCGACCCTCAAACGAGATTTCTGAAATCTCTCGTCTGCTCGACGGCCCCGTCGTCGCGGAGCACCTACACATCGCCTATTGATTAAAAAACTTTATAATACGATCTCATCCCTTATTTGTTTTCCGTTTTGATTTTTATTGTTCCCCATCCCCTCTGAGCCGAGGCAGGTGCTCCCGTTCCCCCGACATTTAATTTCACCGGAATTTCCGACGACGAGAACTGCGAACTAAGTTCTCGGGGGTATCAGCGACACGACCAGGTGGGGTATCGGCGTATCAGGGAGCAATTACTTTTGGCCCGAAGGCACCATTTCTGGCCTTGCAAGAAAGAAAAAAAAATAACTGTCTCGGCGATACGCCCCTCGGATCGAAAATTAAGATAAATATGCGAAGGGGGGCATGGTGAAGTATTCGTAAAGGAGAAGGATTTGTAATTAAGTGTAATTATAATTATTTTGTCATCCTTTTGAGAGAGAAATTATTTGTTGTTAAAATAATGATTTACGTCGGTAGCGTTTTTCATCGAAAAAGAAATGTCGAAATGTTTTCAAATGAATACACGGTTCCATTTCTTGTGTTTATTGAAACTTTCCGGTCGCTAGGTCAACCCTCGTAATTCTTCTGCCAAGGGCACTCTCGTCCGATTCCTTCTTCTCGAGTGATTGATTTTCGTTTAACTCGATCGCGAATCGACGACGGGCGATATTGCCCCTTAATTCCGTTAGGATTTTAATTTATCACAGCCCCGGTGGGGTGCAGACAGAATCGCGAATAATTCCGCAATATGATGAATAACGCGCTGAGCTGTCTCGTGTTTTCCTGGAGGTATAACTCCGCGTACATGTACAAACTGCTACTACTGGAAGAATTTTTCCAAGTCCATGATCAATGCAGCCTTTCCATCGAACATTTCTCGAACAGAACAGGGTAATCATTTGAAAACACTTCACGACTAATATTATTCGTCCAATATTAAATTTCAAAATCAGCAGTTTAACCTCCGAGTTTATTAATTTGGTATTAAACGAATGCAAGGGTTAGAGAGCTTTCAAATTTCCATTTGTTTGAAATTTTTTGTCGATTCGTATCTCTTTCTTTCTCAAAGAAGCTCCGAGGGGGCTTTTCCGGTCACTCATTCACATAGCGGCCGCGGTGGAGGCAGCTTAACTTTGAAAGTTACTCATCTTGACGTGGTTAATGCGAGGATCAGAAGCTCCCCGTTCGAAGAGGTCGTCGTATCGGGAAGGCGAGGTTCCTCGCAATCGGCGAAACGAAGTTTGCACGCTTAAGAGTTCTTCCCTTATTAAAAGGGAGTCCCCAGGGCTGAGGCCGAGCACTAAGCGGCACGTCTCGGTGCTAGGAACACATTTATTAAAGGCAGTTCTCTTTTCCTCCCTTCGGCCGCAGTCCCCGACCCCCGTTCACTTTGGTAGCTGTCTGCCGTCTTGTCCGGGGCTACGGGAGAAAGAAAAAAGACGTCACATTGTCGACGCCTTATTAATCCGGAGGCGAGGGGGCTTTGAAGAAATTAAAAGAACAGAGAGTATAATGTGAATACATCCATTCCATCCTCGCCCCCCGACCCCCGAAGGACCATTACCATTTTCACTCGGCGCGCCTGCTAAGTACCAGACAGATAGACATCTTGAGCCTTGTCACGGTTTTTAAAATCCGATGTATATATGTATATATACACCCTATATACGTATACCCTAGCTCGCTCCGCTCTCTCCACGATCCTTTCATTTTTAATGCCGCCACCTCGGCACAGACCGAGATTTCTTCGAGAGAGATGGGGATTGCGGAAAAATTTTAGACGGCTTTAAAGACCCAAGTAAGACTCGTTAAGAGGAGAGAGGAAAGGATCAAGATGGTTCGAGCCCCGGATATTAGTTCAGGGACGAAATTCGAGGAAATGAAGGCAATTCTTTAACCGGAACGGACCTGTACGGCCGGGGGGAGAGTAGATAATGGATTGAACTTCTCGTTTGTTTATATATGGGATGAGTAATAAATTATTTATCTCTTACATGTTATGATACGTTTATGTAAAAATTACTTTTTGCATATAAATTAAGCCTAATTATATAAATATCACCGTTTTTTATATTTATAAATGCTGCAATCAACCACTGAAATTCATGAATTTGTAAATTTACCTTCAGAGTGTCCGGTTCGTATTCAGTTCCGAGCGATACTGTGCAGTTTAGCGTGACTTTTTCTGACGCACAAGTTAAATCACGTCATTTGAGATGATTAATGGCCTACAAGGTCAAGGAAATGGACGAAGGTTGTTGGATATGTAGCGAAGTTATTCGAAAGTAATGACGTGCGAATGGTGCTATAATTGATTGGTTAAGCCCTACTCAGGTGGTCAGAAAAATGTAAGATGGCGTCCGTTGCGCGCCTTGGCAGCTGTTAGCAGCAGCCATGCGCAAGCTACGTGAAATTCATGCGTCGAAGCATATAGAAGAATGAGTGTTCGGTCGAAAAGTTGTTACATTTACAGCGACGACCCATCTCTATCGGCGGTTTATTTGCCCGACAATACTCCAGTATTCGTGGGACGGACGATAGAAACGAAAATTACCGACACCAAGTGTTCGAGGAACCAAGGTTAGTGGACCTGAGGTTATATAACCTCTCGCGTCACGACAAGGATTTGAATAGCAGTGACGTGACACGTGAATTTCTTATGGACGTGCATACTGTAGGAGAAACCACGTGGTCGTAAATGTGAAATGCAATAAATAGGTGGTACTTTGCCAAAAATACTAGGATATAACCCTTGGCATTGAAATATCAAAGTAGATTGTAGAACATCTTCCTAGAGGGAAGGTTATAAGAGATTTGTTTTAAAGAAGTTGCGTAGTATAGGGCAAATTGTTTTTTTAACGATTCAGTAGCTTGGTAATAGCAATGATAGGTGATAAGAGATTTAAGTTTGTGCGCATGTCGCTTAGTCTTATGCACGTTGTCTTATCAGTTCGACTCTGCGCAAGCTACACGGACCACAAAGTATTTGTACAGCAAGTTGGTTCACGACCATCGGGATTAAATGGACTTAAAACTCAGAAAGGCGAGAAGATCACCGCTAAGAATGGAGATATTTTGGAAATCTTGTACGGAAAGTATCCATATCGAATAGAGTTTAATCCTCCTCCGGAAGAAAAATGTGAAGACACTCGGAGAAAGAAACGAACTCTTGAGTCGAGCACTGAAAGTATAGAGAACGGTGAAAACGAATCAAGGCATAGCAAGAAATCAAAAATTAATCCATCCTATTCTGGATCGGACAAGGAATCCACGGAAGGAGTGTCTTGTACGGAAGAAGATATGGACGATGCCGTTGATAAAGAAACAATATCTACGATACTTTCAAAAATTAAAAATAATAGTGGTACAAAAAACCCTGGGGATGCAAGTTGCAGTAAGGACATAGATGATACAGATGATACAGAAGATATCGCAACCAGAGAACCGGCGAAGGAAAAGTGGGAGGATTTTGATAACAGGAGTCTTTTAATATATACCAGTGAGGGGGTCGAACATCGATCAAAAGTAATTAACTACATTTTATCAGTAATTAAAGAATCGATTATATTTTCTTTGACCAATGAAAAATTGAAGGAAGTCTTAATTTTTCAATTACAATTTTAATATTTTATTTTTTAAGATAGCGGCATATGACATGGATGGAACATTAATAAAAACAATGTCAGGATTGGTGTTTCCAAAAGATTGTAATGATTGGCAATTATTATATTCTGATGTACCAGGCAAATTAAAGAAGCTACATGCAGAAGGATACAAGATTGTGATTTTTACAAATCAAGGAAGTTTGGGGCTTGGGAAATTAAAACCCAGTGATTTTAAAGTTAAGATAGAGAGAGTGGTTAAAAAGATTGGTGTTCCAATGCAGGTAGGCCATTAAAGAATAACGGAATAATGAAACAACATATTGCAATGTATGATAATTTTATGTTATTTAAAGGTATTTATTGCTCCTGGGAAAAGTATATACAGAAAGCCAGTCACAGGAATGTGGGATGTACTAGTAAATCATGTATGCACTAATTGCAGAATTAAGTATTTTACATATAAATATATTAAAGTAAATTCTTTAAGACCTGAATATATTTTGTCTTAGAAAAACGGTGGAGTACCAGTAGATAAAGACAAATCTTTCTACGTTGGAGATGCAGCAGGTAGAGACAAGAATTGGGCTCCTAATAAGAAAAAGGATCATTCTTCTGCAGATCGATTGCTTGCTCTTAACTTGGGGTTAAAGTTTCAAACGCCGGAGGAACACTTTTTGGGACAAAAACCAGCACCTTATAAAATGCCTGATTTTGATCCAAAAGCATTAAATGAAATTGATAGTATATGCGATCCTCCGGAAGCGAAGATCATCTCAAGTAAACAAGAGGTATATACTTGAATCTTTGTGTTAATATTAATGCAAAAATTAATATGGTTTCTTAAAAATAGGTTATTATTATGGTCGGTGGTCCAGGTTCTGGAAAATCACACACTGTTCGCACGTATCTTGATAATTATATACACATAAATAGGGACACTTTGGGCAGCTGGCAAAAGTGTGTATCCATGATGGATCAATCGTTGACTCAAGGAAAAAGCGTAGTCATTGATAATACCAATCCAGATCCAGAAACAAGGCAAAAGTATGTAAAAGTTGCACAAATGCATAATGTCCCGGTAAGATGTTTTGTTATGAAGACAGATACTGAGCATTCCAAACATAATAATAAGGTATGCATATTTATTTTTTAGATTAATTTAATATAATAGTTTATTCTGTTATAATATGACAATTTTTTCAATGCGTACTTTCCAGTTCCGTGAACTCACAGATTCCACTCATGACAAAGTTAGTGACATTATCATTAATAGTTATACGTAAGTAAAATTAACATTTTTTCTCAATATGTAAAGACTTTCTTTATTATTCGCATTCATATGCTACGAATGGTCGGCAACCGTCCTTCGTACATCACCAGTCCAGTTCGGTAATGATTGTGAGAAAAATGTTTTATCAGCGACACAAACTCCCAACTGGTCTGGCGCTGCATAAGATTTGTGAAGCTTCTGATACTCCTGAGCCTTCGAGTCTACGCCAACCTCTTCACGAGTGTGCAACCTTACAGAAAGAAATACGTGGAACCCAGCCTGGAAGAGGGATTTGCTGAGATTGTCTATGTCAATTTCGTACCTAAATTCCAAACGGACGAGGATCGAAGATTGTACGAGATGTTCCTCTTAGAAAAATAATAATTCGGAAGAAATGGACTGGTAATAGTCATCTTCAAACCATACAAGTGTAAGCTAATTTAATCAAGAACCTCATTTGGTACATTCCATAACCATACGTGTATTACTAAATGTTACATGAATTGTTGAAAATTATCTCAGTATTTATTACCCAAATTCAGCAGCAATAATTTATTCTAATAAAAGCCAGTCTTTTTAAAGTCCTCTGCACAATTGAATATCATTGTCGTCGGTTTACCCCCTGGTTCATTATCCTTATTATTAAGCATAAAAGATTTAATAAAAAATTTATATTCGGATGACCATCACGAATGCGAAGTGTCACAGTAACTTTAATACGTTGTGGCATTAAAATGTCACGATTAATAATAGAGCACAAAGGTCGAACGGGCTCGACATTATATAAGCATTCTGTCTTACATATCAACGTACAATTTAGTATTTCTTTTTATTACGTTGTTATTTGCGAAAAAGGAGTATTTACTGTTTTAATGATCGAGAGCGCTGGGCCAGGAGAATCTCGCTATCCGTTCTCAGCAAGTCGTGCTAATGGGAAGTGGAAAAAACACCGGGAAGATCCGCCTGCGGAGGCAAGGAGCAAGTGGAAAAAGTACGCCGAGGGAGTATAAGGAATTACCGTCAGTTGGGGTAATTATTCAGCCTGCCCCTGGGTATAGGGAAATAGACAGGAGCTCCAATCCTGGTCTCATCCCCCCGACGATCCGGGTCTCCCGGATAACGACGTAGGAAAGAATTATAAAATGGAATGGGGGGTCGACATTAATGCATTGGGGCTCGGCTCGTCCTTCCCTCTCCCGCCATTCGCTGTACCTTGCGAACGGCCGTCGAGGCAAGAATCTTTATTAGAGAGGAATATTATATAAAAGGGGAAGGAACGCTTACGCGTGCACGCTCACTCCTATATATTTGTACACCATCTATACATCTTTTCTGCTTTAACGTTAAGTTTTCCGTAATTATTATTTACAAAGAAATAACGCATATGCTCGGTATATATTGGGTTCGGTCGCGAAGTGGCGCAACAAAGAGGGCGATTCTCGCATTCCATGTACCGAGTGTGCCTCGCGAGCAATTTCGCCCGAGGAATGACTATGAGACTGGCATAATGGGCAGTCCTTCCGAAACACATGGATTAAAGCGCGCGCTGGGCACCGCGGCGTGAGGAGGGCTAGCGATACGTTTGCCCACATAAGGGGTGGGCATAATGTTGGTAAGGATGGCAAATGAGGGCGTTAGCCAAATAATGCAAAGCAAACCCGGTCTGAGATATAGTCCGGCATTTGTCCATATTAAGGCGCCTTCGGGTCCCGCGCTCGGTTCGCGCGGGCCCTGGAAATTATATAGCGGGACCGTCACCCGTTATTAGTCAGTCCGGCTCGCATGCCAGCGATAACTATGTGTATGCCGAGCACCCGTTATATCGCCATTTATCACGCTTCTTCGTACGCGTAATTTTACGTTGTAATTTCTTGCGTTATGCGCGACCGACACTCGCTCCGCTCCTTCCAGTTCGTCCTGGAATTTCGCCGAGTATTCGCCAATCTTCCATGGGGTGGTACCATATTGGCGGCGAGTGCCATCCGTGCCGTCGGCTAGGGTCACTTCTCCTTTTCCATTTACGGCTCGCAATCGTTACGTAAAGGGTTGGTCGAATGAATGTGGAAAAAAGAGAAAATTCAACCCAAGCAAGGGGTACGAATCAGGGGTGGTATCGTGGCATCGCTCAATTTTTACTTATTTAAAATGTCCGATATTCTTCTGGTCCATGAATTAACGCAATCGCCAATTTCTTTTCTTTTTTTTCCTCATTTAACGAGCTCTGACGAGTACACCGATCGATTTCAGCTTCTCCGAGGCGATTGTGCGAGCCTAGTAATGCAGAGTTTCATGGTATGCAGATTATCGAGGCGCATTGTCTTGTTAGGACGATCCTTACCTCGTATCGCTTGTACACTCACTACTTGCCGTTCGGAACGTCAAAGAGGTTTTCCGCGAGAACGGATGTCGTCTCAGGAAGGAGCCTTGTGGGGAATCTGTGGGATATTCAGTAATTTCGCGAGCGGTATCCGAGCCGAGCCCTTTGTCGCACACTCGCGGGACTCATCGAATAATAGGGATAATTGGGGATTGCTACCCCCGCGGGAAAATTCTATCGACGAAGCCCACCCTCCCGAGGAGCTTATTCGCCGAGAGGGCGGATCTCGTATCTCGTATTTATCGCGTTCGTGCTTCGAGAGTTTCTTGGGAACGGTCTCTCTCGCACACCCTGCCAAGTCGTAACGCGACTTGCCCGGGCCAACTTTAAAGGCGAACGTGTAAGTCTCAAACTAATAAGCTGACACGGAAGCACGGCAAGGACGGAGCAATGCAAGGGTTGGGCTTTCACTTGGTAGGGGAACAAGACACCAATTATGACGTTGATCGTTTACGAGCGGCTAAATTGGGTAACTTCGAAGGACAATGGCTCCTTACGTCGACGGACGAGTTTCAGGGAGTGAGAGCGTTTCTACTTTTCCGAGTTTCCTTTTTCTGCACCCTTCGACGATGCGCTTTCCAGATAGATGATCATGATAGGTGGTCATCGTCACATATTGTATGCGATTGATTCACGCATATTAGCACTAGGGCCTCTGTATTGTATGACAAATTTGTACTCTCATCGATCACACGATAATGTATGTCTTCTTACATGGGATTTCATGAGCACATATTATGAGATATATAAAAAACCATGAGTTACATAAATACGAGTGCAAACGGGGATGCAGAAGAAGCACATAGCTACGCGAATCACTGACTGTAAAACTTCGATATGAAGTAAATATAAAGTAAATCTGTCGTTGGCAATTAATAGCTCTTCAACTTTTTTCGAAGTATCATTTTATATATATAAATGTCAAAGTATTTATAAAAGGGTTATGTGGGTGCACCGAATCATTTGAAACTTCAGCAAGGGATTATGGAGGAAGGAAAAGTGCGATACCAATGAAATTTCATTAAAAAAAAATGTGCGCTTGGTTCTAGCCCGAGGTACAATAAAAAATGTTTTTTTTTTTACTATAATGTATTTGATATACGGAGGACGACCCTTTCATAACACTTTAAATATTCTGGGATCAGGTACTTGAATGAATCTGTACTATTTACACGTGAAAATAGCATGTATAGTGTAGTGCAACGGTTGACCCGCCATGTTTTTTCGGACAATTGTAAGATTGCTTTTTCAAGGCATACAGTTGTGTCCCCACGTATTTCAATTGCAGGCGAATCTGTGTGCACGAGAAATGTATCGGGGTAGTGTTTTCTGGTGGTTCGTTGCCGTTTCCTGAGGTTCTTCTACTAGAAGGCGTGAATTTAACGTCTTGGCGAAGTTACCGCTCACCGATGGAGTCTGAGGACTCGTGGCTTTGCGAAACGTTCACCGCCAGGCAACTTCAAGTTAAGCAGCTAAGGATTATAGCGAGCCGAGCTATGGACGGATTACGGTGAAGTATCCCTGAAGTGCCGCGATGTGGATAATCACATTAATGAAATAGATTCGCACGCATTGTCGCGCGGATGTATAGATTCGGATTACGCGAAGCCAAGTCTATCCCTGTAATCGCGTCGCAACGTCATTCCGGTTGATCCTCCACAAGCGTTCGTTTCGCAAAGAAATGATATTTTGATTAAAAAGTTAAGAATAATTTGGAGAAAATCATGACGGAATGTGTGATAAAGTTCTACGATTCATCGCAGAGTATCAATTATCGATACAACTCTATCTGGAAAGAACGATCAACGAAGTTATCGCCAAGAAAGAACGAAACATCATTCGAGATGATAAATGGTCGAGAAGTTTCCCATTGGTTATTAATTTTAGACGAATTTAATTTTGCTACTACAAATAAAACCTTGAGCTTCATTGATCGGGTTAATTTGCTTGAAGTTAATCGGAATGTTTCTGGAGTTGATTTGAAAGTCCAATAATTTAAAAAAAAAATGTGACTCTGAACAAGCAACCGAAGTAACGACAGGAGCGGCCCATTAGGTTATTAAGAAGTTTACTCTGCGAGCTCGCCGAGGGCACGAGCGGCTGCGAAATGAAGCGAGGTGTGTGCTTAAGATTTTTATGCCGCGCTATCTTACACGCCGCTTTATGCCGCAGTCAAGTTAAGCCGGTTAGTCAATTTCGAAGCGCCGGTCTCTCGAGGCGCTCCGAGTTGCTGCGACAGTATTTATGTAAACTCATTTGTGCTAGATTTAATCCGATTTGGATACATAAGAGAAGACTAGGATCACAGTTGGTCGAATCCGAAAAGGATTTAAAGCTGGCAATGAGAGGAACACGTGTAGTTAATGTATCACTTAATATACCATACTTGGCACATAAGTACTGATATCATTAGGCGGAAAGAAGATCGGTACGCATAAAGTTAAACACACCGAATTAGAATTAGATTCAATTGATGTCCTACAAAGATAGTTGGGTTAAGAATTTTTTTTTCGGCAGGATGAATACGAATATTTTTGTTAGAAAACTTGATGTAGTAAAAATGAGTATTAATTGTTGCGGTCCGTTCGTCGGGCGACTAGATGTAACTTTTATTCTATCCATGAATATTTGTGTAGCGTGTTGTAAAAAGTGGACCCTATTTGTAGTGAACGGTGTATTGAAATCGGATCCATTTTTTTTTCACAATTCCGTAATATTGTGAAATAAATTTCCTTTCAATTTTATGAATTCTCATAAATAGTGCAAACGGTGGTCGACGGATAAAATTTCAGGAGCCACCCGGTATGCAGTTTTCAGGTAGGGGTACGTTTAGATGCTTGGCGGGGGTGTAAATTTGCATTGAACGAAATGAGCCGCTATGGGGCATTCCAGTCCGAAGTTAATAGCTTCGGAACGATTAACTGTATCTCTTCCTCTCTCTTTCCCTGCTCCTCCAAATCTCTCTCTCTCCCTCTGGCATCACGACCGTTCCTCCTCTCTGTCGCGCGAACGCCGCCGTACTATCCCCTAATAATGTATGTCCCAAAGGTCGCGAAATAATTGACTCCACTCGGTAAACCCCAATTGCTCCTAAACGGTAGATCACATATAAACCAATCGAACAGATCGATCGGCTTTAAACGTTTCTTTCCATCGTTCAACCATCGAACAAACATTGCACGTGCAATTGCGGTGACGATTACAGAGAAG